CAGAAGTTTAAGAAAAGGATATTTGTTCAACTAAAAGCTCAATACTGACTGTTCAAGCACAAGTCTTTCGTATTTCTCTCTTTCAAAAGTCTCTTCAAAAGAGTCTCATGAAAGAGTTGCTAATCTCAGAATATGATCAAATCCTCTTCTGATAAAAAGCTGTTTCATGTGCCACTTCCAATGAGTAGAAGTTTAATTTGTCATGATAGAAGATTCCCCTCCTTTCTTTTACAGATCACGTCCATCTTAGATCTCTTGACTGAAACATTCTTCACCTCTGACCTCTGCCAACATAGAGGTCACCGTCACTGTGGCAACTAAAGCGCCAAACGCTCTCTGTCTTAATTAAAAAACATTATTTACTCAGAGAAATTTTCATTTTCACTACCTCTGACCTCTCTCTTCCTTTTCCTTTCTCCTCCTCCTCCCCTCTGTGTTAGTTAACTGTCGACACGCTGGGAAAGCCCACGTCCTCTGAAAGACGCCTGCGTTCTCGGGACTATTGTGTCGATCCTGTCGTCTCAGCCGAGGTGGTATATGAGTGTGTGTGTGCGAGAGAGAGAGAGAGAGAGAGAGAGAGAGAGAGTGTGTGTGTGAAGCGAGGCTAAGCTCTCACAGAAGACAAAGCCACAACCTTCGAGGCTGCTAAGCAACAATGCCGCCTGGTAAAGCCTCGTCAGGGCACCGTTTAGCAGAGGATTAGGGACAATTACACACACATAAACACACACACCCAAACCGAAGCCTCATCAACTCCTTAATTCAAACCCCATACCACTTTGACTCCGCTTTAATGTGTGTGCATGTGTGTGTGTGTGTGTGTGTGTGTGACCTGAAGTTCAGTTATTTTCCACTTGTCCATTTTGACTCCTTGTCAATGGAGTGATGAGGGACACACACACACACACACACATGAAAATGCCAAAATTTTGAGAAAAACAAATCAATTTTTTATGTAATACAAAACTAAAGCTAAATAAATAATGATTACCATTAAGCATCTGACTCATACATCCAGTAAAGAGATGACAGCTTCTCTCACTGTACACAAATAATCTCCTTAAAACATTTCCAGAGGGGCTGTATGTGAGAATGCAAATGTGTTGATGATTTTTCTAACATGTGACGGACAAAAAAATTAAAACATTTAAAGAATGCAAATATCTCAGGATGAGAAAATGCCAAAAACACAATATCTCTGTCACACCAACCTGGCTTCATACTCAAGCAACCAGACTTTTCAGCTGTGGAAGCAGTGACCCATTCTCTTATCCTCCCATCACCCCATCCCTTCATCAACCACTCTTTCATCTCTCCCTCTTTCATCTCGCTAGTGATTTCTGTCCAGCAAACGGGAGTGAGAGAAAGACAGTGAGGGAGAGAGAGAGAGAAAGAGATGGAAAAGTAGAAGGGAGGGAAGAAGGTAAGACAGATGTATTTGTGTAGCACCTTTTTCAAAACACAAAGGCCACACAGTGTTCTCACCATGTACCGAACTGCATAAAAAGGAAAGTTGCTCTTAAATAAACAAGATAGATACACAAAAAAAATTATGATAGAAATAAATGTGCAGGAAACAAAACAAAAATGTCTTATTGTATTGTTGAATAAAAAGTGAATGAAGTAAATGTGCATGAACATCGCTTCACTGTATTTGCCTCTAATGCGAAGATTGACTGCATCCAAAACATCTGAGGGATCTACTGGATTTATATTCTCATCATATCAGGTTATTGATTTTATTTTACAAGTTTAAGATTCATGATCACCTATGGCAAGAGAAGAAATAACATACCCTTCATCCTCAGACTGACATATTCCTAAGGCCGAAGTCTGACAGATTCTTTCTAATCCGCATATGGGACATGAGCAGGTGGCGCCCCTGTAGCGTAGCGCCCACACAGAAACAACAGATTGTTGGGCACAGGGACGTCCACACATACACCCTCTAATGATGATATGCACATCATGCAGACCCACCTGGAACCTCTCATACTTGGGGATGTAAGTGTTTGTGTGCGTGTGTATGTTCTGATCCCAGGGTCAAAACTTGTGATTTGCTTGGCAGGGGGAACTCTTGTTTCTTGCCCAGCGCAGTGAGGTTTTACTGGCCAAGCTTGTTTTACAGAGTCTTTCTAATGAACTGTCTCTGTTTGATCCATTGTTCAAAGTGTCTCTGCTCTCTGCTGCTCTCGTTCTCTCTCTTTCCTCCGTCCCTCGTCTCTTTCTCAGAGCAAACAGCCGCAGCTGTGGTCCTCAGTATTACCAGGGGAAACCAGAGGCCTGTGTGTGTGTGAGACTCTGTGTGTGTGTGTGTGTGTTTACGTCAGAGACAGATATACAGAGAGAGCTAGTTTTTGGGGATATGCCCACCACATGGTGTCTCCAGATGTGTGTGTCTTCGTAACCTAATAGAGTTTGGGCCCTGGAGTGTTGGGGGAGGCTAAGCATTTGTGTGTGTGTGTGTGTGTGTGTGTGT